CCAGCTTTCCCAACACCATTTATTGAACAGGGAATCCTTTCCCCATTGCTTGTTTTTGTCTGGTTTGTCAAAGATCAGATGGTTGTAGATATGTTGTGTTGCCTCCGAGACCTCTGTTCTGTTCCATTGGTCTATATTTCTGTTTTGGTACCAGTACCATGCTGTTTTGATTACTGTAGCCCTGTAGTATAGTTTGAAGTCTGGTAGTGTGATGCCTCCCACTTTGTTCTTTTTGCTTAGAATTGACTTGGCTATGTGGGCTCTCTTTTGGTTCCATATGAAGTTTAAGGTGGTTTTTTCCAGTTCTGTGAAGAAGGTCATTGGTAGCTTGATGGGGATAGCATTGAATCTGTAAATTTACTTTGGTAAGTATGGCCATTTTCACGATATTGATTATTCCTAACCATGAACATGGAATGTTTCTCCATCTGTTTGTGTCCTCTCTTATTTCGTTGAGCAGTGGCTTATAGTTCTCCTCAAAGAGGTCCTTTACGTTCCTTGTTAGTTGTATTCCTAGGTATTTTATTCTCTTTGTGGCAATTGTGAACGGAAGTTTGTTCTTTATTTGGCTCTCTTTAAGTCTATTATTGGTGTATAGGAATGCATGTGATTTTTGCACATTGATTTTGTATCCTGAGACTTTGCTGAACTAGCTTATCAGTTTCAGGAGATTTGGGGCTGAGACAATGGGGTCTTCTAGATATACAATCATGTCGTCTGCAAATAGAGACAATTTGACTTCCTCCTTTTCTATTTGAATGCCCTTTCTTTCTTTTTCTTGCCTGATTGCTCTGGCTAGAACTTCTAATACTATATTGAATAGCAGTGGTGAGAGCGGGCATCCTTCTCTGGTGCCACATTTCAAGGGGAATGCTTCCAGTTTTTGCCCATTCAGTATGATATTGGCTGTTGGTTTGTCATAAATAGCTTTTATTATTTTGAGATACGTTCCATCAATACCTAGCTTATTGAGGGTTTTTAGCATAAAGGGCTGTTGAATTTTGTCAAAGGCCTTCTCTGCATCAATTGAGATAATCATGTGGTTTTTGTCTTTGGTTCTGTATATGTGGTGAATTACGTTTACAGACTTGCGTATGTTAAACCAGGCTTGCATCCCCGGGATGAAGCCTACTTGATCATGGTGGATAAGCTTTTTGATGTGCTGTTGCAAGCAGCTTGTCAGTATTTTATTGAAGATTTTTGCATCTATGTTCATCATGGATATTGGCCTGAAGTTTTCTTTTCTTGTTGAGTCTCTGCTGGGTTTTGGAATCAGGATGATTTTGGTCTCATAAAATGATTTGGGAAGAATTCCCTCTTTTTGTATTGTTTGGAATAGTTTCAGAAGGAATGGTACCAGCTCCTCTTTGTATGTCTGTTAAAATTCAGCTGTGAACCCATCCGGACCTGGGCTTTTTTTGGGTGGTAAGCTCTTAATTGCTGCCTCAACTTCAGACCTTGTTATGGGTCCGTTCAGGGTTTCGGCTTCTTCCTGGTTTAGGCTTGGGAGGAGGCAAGTGTCCAGGAATTTATCCATTTCTTCCAGGTTTATTAGTTTATGTGCATAGAGTTGTTTGTAATAATCTCTGATGATGGTTTGAATTTCTGTGGAATCTGTGGTGATATCCCCTTTATCGTTTTTTATTGCATTGATTTGGTTATTCTCTCTTTTCTTTTTTATTAATCTGGCTAGTGGTCTGTCTATTTTGTTGATCTTTTCAAAAAACCAGCTCCTGGATTTATTGATTTTTTGAAGGGTTTTTTGTGTCTCTATCTCCTTTAGTTCTGCTCTGATCTTAGCTATTTCTTGTCTTCTGCTAGACTTTGAAGTTTTTTGATCTTGCCCCTTTAGTTCTTTCAGTTTTGACGATAGGGTGTCAATTTTTGATCTCTCCTTGCTTCTCATGTGGGTACTTATTGCTATATATTTTCCTCTAGAAACTGCTTTAAATGTGTCCCAGAGATTCTGGTATGTTGTGTCTTCATTCTCGTTGGTTTCAAAGAACATCTTTATTTCTGTCTTCATTTCATTGTTTATCCAGTCAACATTCAAGAGCAAGTTGTTCAGTTTCCATGAAGCTGTGTGGTTCTGGGTTAGTTTTTGAATTCTGAGTTCTAACTTGATTGTACTGTGGTCTGAGAGACTGTTTGTTACGATTTCTGTTCTTTTGCATTTGCTGAGGAGTGATTTACTCCCAATTATGTGGTCAGTTTTAGAGTAGGTGTGATGTGGTGCTGAGAAGAATGTATATTCTGTGGATTTGGGTTGGAGAGTTCTGTAAATGTCTATTAGGTTTGCTTGGTCCAGGTCTGAGTTCAAGTCCTGGATATCCTTATTAATTTTCTGTCTGGTTGATCTGTCTAATATTGACAATGGGGTGTTAAAGTCTCCCACTATTATTGTGTGGGAGTCTAAGTCTCTTTGTAAGTCATTAAGAACTTGCCTTATGTATCTGGGTGCTCCTGTATTGGGTGCGTATATATTTAGGATCGTTAGCTCTTCTTGTTGCGTTGATCCTTTTACCATTATGTAATGTCCCTCTTTGTCTCTTATGATCTTTGTTGCTTAAAAGTCTAATTTATCAGAGATGAGAATTGCAACCCCTGCTTTTTTTTGCTCTCCATTTGCTTGGCAAATCTTCCATCCCTTTATTTTGAGCCTTTGTGTATCCTTGCATGTGAGATGGGTTTCCTGGGTACAGCACACTGATGGGTTTTGGCTTTTTATCCAATTTGCCAGTCTGTGTCCTTTGATTGGGGCATTTAGTCTATTTACATTTAGGGTTAATATTGTTATGTGCGAATTTGATACTGCCATTTTGGTGCTAGCTGGGTGTTTTGCCCTTTAGTTGAGCTGGTACTTGTTGTTCCTTTATATGTGTAGAGCCTCTTTCAGGAGCTCTTGTAGAGCTGGCCTGGTGGTGACGAAATATCTGAGTACTTACATGTTCCCAAAGGATTTTATTTTTGCTTCACTTATGAAGCTTAGTTTGGCTGGATAGGAGATTCTGGGTTGAAAGTTCTTTTCTTTAAGGATGTTGAATATCGGCCCCCACTCTCTTCTGGCTTGTAGAGTTTCTGCTGAGAGATCTGCTGTGAGTCTGATGGGCTTCCCTTTGTGGGTAACCTGACCTTTCTCTCTGGCTGCCCTTAGTATTTTCTCCTTCATTTCAACCCTGGTGAATCTGACGATTATGTGCCTTGGGGTTGCTCTGCTTGACAAATATCTTTGTGGTGTTCTCTGTATTTCCTGGACTTGAATGTTTGCCTGCCTTGCTAGGTTGGGGAAGTTTTCCTGGATATATCCTGAAGAGTATTTTCCAGCTAGGATTCACTCTCTTCGTCACATTCAGGTACGCCTATCAAACGTAGATTAGGTCTCTTCACATAGTCCCACATTTCTTGGAGATTTTGTTCTTTCCTTTTTACCCTTTTTTCTCCAGTCTTGCCTTCACGTTTTATTTCATTGAGTTGATCTTCTACCTCTGATATCCTTTCTTCTGCTTGGTCAATTCGGCTGTTGATACTTGTGCATGCTTCGCGAAGTTCTCGTGTTGCATTTTTCAGCTCCATCAATTCACTTATATTCCTTTCTATTTCTTCCATTCCCATTAGCATTTCGTCAAATCTTTTTTCAAGGTTCTTAGTTTCTTTGCATTTGGTTAGAACATGTTCTTTAAGTTCACAGAACTTTCTTACTACCCACCTTCTGAAGTCTGATTCTGTCATTTCATCACACTCGTTCTCCCTCCAACCTTGTTCCCTTGCTGGTAAGGAGTTGTGATCCCTTCTAGGAGGAGAGGTATTCTGGTTTTGGGTGTTTTCATCCTTTTTGCACTGGTTTCTTCCCATCTTTAGGGATTTATCCACCTGTCGACTTTGTAGTTGCTGGCTTTCAGATTGGGTCTCAAATCTTTCAGGTTGACGTTCTGTTTGTTGATGATGAGGTTATTTCTGTTTCTTGGTTTTCCTTCTGACAGTCTGGCCCCTCTGCTGTAGGTCTGCTGAGGTTCACTCCAGGCCCTGCTTGCCTGGGGTTCACCTGCAGCAGCTGCTGAACAGTAAGGGTTGTTACCAGTTTTCTTTTTCTGCTATCTTTGTCCCAGAAGGATACCCGCCTAGTGTCAATCTGATCTCTCCTTTATGAGGTGTCTCTTTGGATATATAGGGGTCAGGGAGCTGCTTGAGGAGACGGTCACTTCTTTATAGGAGCTCAAATGGTGAGCTGTGAGCTCTGTTGTTCATTCAGAGCTGCTGGGCAGGTACGTTTAGGTCTGCTACAGCAGAACTCATAAACTGCTTTTTGTTCCCAGGTGCTCTGTCCCAGGGATTTAGGGCTTTATTTATGAGTTTCTGTTATGCTGCTGCCTTCTTTTTTTTTCCTTCAGACCTGCCCTGCCCAGCAAGGAGGCAGCCTAGTCACTGTCTGCCTGCAGAGGCTTTGCTGAGCTGCTGTGGGCTCCGCCCAGCTGCCGAGTGAACTTCCCTGCAGTCCTGTTTATATGGGTGTAGTTGGAACTGCTTTGGCGATGGTGGCCCACCTAGGCGGAGTCTCTCTGCTGTGGCAGGTTGCCTTGGCAATGGCGGGCTGCCTCAGCAATGGTGGGTTGCCTTGGCAATGGCGGGCTGCCTCAGTAATGGCGGACGCCCCTCCCCTACAGAGCTGGACCATCCTGGGTTCAGCAGCACTTGCTGTGAAACTCTGAGTCCAGAGTTTCTGGTTGCTGTTCTTTTGTGGGGGTGGGACCAGCCAAGCTGATCGCCTGGCTTCCTGCCTCAGCTCCTTTTTTAAGTTGGTGTTCCAGTCGCCTGTTGAAGAGGCGCCGGGGTCTGTTTGTTTTCCCCTGCGGCCACTCACTGCCTAGCTTAAACAGCAGCACTGAGGTTTGTGGCGCTTTTTTTTTTTTTTTTCTTTGCCCTGGAATCTACTGTCCTGGTACCCTGCTCCGTCCCGTTTTTAAACAAACGAATGGGCGATTTCCCGTGGCTCCAATCGCCAGCCAAAAGGGCACCCCGACCGCTGTGTTTTGTACAGAGAACCGCTGCTCCAGGGCGCCGACAAAGCAGCCGCGTGGGGCAAAGCAGCGGCCCCGGCCGGCACAGCCGCGCTGGCGGAAACAGCCACGCTGGTGACCTGTGGAGCTCCTCTGCCTGGGAATTTCCTAGTCTGTGGGCAATAAAAATGCGGCGTCCACTCAGCCTCTGCGCTTTCACTGGGAGCTGCAATCCTGAGCTGTTCCTAAACGGTCATCTTGGATCCTCCCCCCCTAGATATCTTTTCTTACCCTCTTCCATATAATCTCTAGGTACCCTGTCTTATATTGTCTTTTGCATATCTAAACCCTCATTCTTTCTACCTCTTACCCTTATCACTTCCCCCAAATCAAATTTCATGGCCTGGCACAGTGGTTCATGCCTGTAATCCCAGCACTTTGGGAGACTGAGGCAGGCAAATCACTTGAGGCCAGGCGTTCAAGATCAGACTGGCCAACATGGTGAAACTTCATCTCTACTAAAAATACAAAAATTAGCCAGGCGTGGTGGCAGACACCTGTAATACTAGCTACATGAGAGGCTGAGGCACGAGAATTGCTTGAACCCAGGAGGTGGAGGATGAGCCAAGATCATGCCTCTGCACTCCAGACTGGGTGACAGAAGGAGACCCCGTCTCAAAAAAAAAAAAAAATTCCATTGCACAATGTAACTTTTCTCAGGAAAGTATTGAAGTCATTTATTTTATTAAAGTAGTCCTCTATAAAGAACAAATGATTACGTTTCCTAGAATAATACGACTGCTAAGATATCAAATAAGTTTATACTGATAGTATTACCTTGGCTGGGCATGGTGGCTCACGCCTGTAATCCCAGCACTTTGGGAGGCCGAGATGGGTGGATCACCTGAGGCCAGGGGTTCGAGACCAGCCTGGCTAACATGGTGAAACCCATTTCTACTAAAAATACAAAAAATTAGCTGGGCGTGGTGGCTTGCACCTGTGATCCCAGCTACTGAGGATGCTGAGGCAGGAGAACCCGGGAGGCGGAGGTTGCAGTGAGCCAAGATCGCACCATTGCACTCCAGCTTGTGCAACAAGAGTGAAACTCCATCTCAAAAAACAAAAAATAGTATTATCTCTTCTAGCTGTTGATTTAAGAAAAAAAGTAATTATTTGTAAGCAAATAGCTTATACATTCTGGTTGACCAGAATTTATGATTTATAAGTGGAAAAAAGACAGTATGGCAGAATTCTTAAAAGCTTGGTGTATAGATTCACCTTGCCTAGGTTCAAATATCAACCATACTAATATGTGACTTCGAAATTTTTTAGCTCTACTCTTTTACTACTTGTGACTTTTGAAAGATAAAACCCTGCAAGGTAGACTTAACTTTAATATGATTCTCCTATGATTTATATTTTTAGATTACATGTGAAAATGAAGTCATGCAAACCCAAGCCCATGCTGATAATCCATCTAATAATGTCACTTCAGTGCCTACTCACTGTGAAGAAGGCCCAGTGCATAAGAGTACACAAATTTCTTTGAAAAGTCCCCCTCACCGTAATGTGGGTATGTTTTGACTCCAATGGAGTAAGTAATTAAATTGATCTTTTGCATATTGAAGATATATGAAAAGCAAAGTCTAACTCAGGTACTTATGCTTACTCTCTTTCAGGTATTCAAGCCAAAGTGAAAGTGTTTGGAAAAAGGCTGTGTGTTGCAACTACTCAGACAGATGAATTGTGGTCTAGAACTTCTTCTCTCTTTGACATTTACTCCAGTGATTCAGAAAGATACAGACTGGGATATCAAGAGCGAACAGAGTGATCTGTCTTATATAGCTATACAGGTGAAAGAAGAGGCATGTTCAAAACTCAACATCAAATGCTCTGATGTGCTATAGATTTTCAAATCTTTACTCTTTTTGCTATTGTAAATCTTTCTCTTCAAGATAATTTGACAGTTGAGTATCAGCAAAATTTCTTTAGCTCTGCGGCAAAAGTTTGTTTGCTTGCCAACATAATGAAGATAATCCCTACCCACAAACATCCCTACACTCTACTTTCACCACTTTTTTCTTTTTCTTTTCTTTTCTTTTTTTTTTTTTTTTGAGAGGGAGTTTCACTCTTGTTGCCCAGGCTGGATGGAGTGCAATGACATGATCTCAGCTCACTGCAACCTCCGCCTCTCAGGTTCAAGGGATTCTCCTGCCTCAGCCTCCCAAGAAACTGGGATTATAGGCAGGCACCACCACACCCAGCTAATTTTGTATTTTTAGTAGAGACAGGGTTTCTCCACATTGGTCAGGCTAGTCTGGAACTCCCAACCTCAGGTGATCCATCCACCTCGGCCTCCCAAAGTGCTGGGATTACAGACATGAGCCATCATGCCCGACCTCACCTTTTTTTTCCTTTTAATCCTTTTGGTAGAAATCAGGTTACAAAGCAAAACCACAATATTAACATTTTCTAATCACAATTAAGCATTGAATATTTATTTAAGCTTAGTTCAGAAGCAGTGCTTCTATGGGACTTACTTGACATTTGCTGGTTAGAATGTCACTATTCTTCTAAATAATTGGAAGGAGTAGAGTAATAACAATGAGCACAGCCAAACCTGACACTACTAAATGATTTCATAGTGAAATCGAGAACTTCTTCTAGAAGGACATCTATCCTTGACTATTTTTGATGTTATTTATTAGTTTGTCCATTTATAACATATATGGATCTGTCCTGTGAGCATTTCTGATGAATCTGTGGTTCTTACAGAAATTTTTCAAAGGGAATCCATTTAGAGATGGAGTTTTCATACACTTACATTAACTTATTAATGAAATCTATTTGCATCAGTTCCTACTGCAACACATTAATTAGCTTGATTAATTTAGATTAGAATCATTAACATCATGAAAAAAAAGTGTTACATTTCTAATGTATTCCCATTGCAGGTGTTAGGTTTTTTTTCTATAAACACCCCTCTTTTGAATTCTACATTTAAGAAATAAGCATGGAAATATTAGCTACCCCATCTGCCATTCACCATGAAAAATTTCTATGGTGATTTTGTACCATGAAGTAAATTGTTCCAGTAGTTTCTGAGAAGCATACTATAACTCTGATGTTCTATTGAGAATAATAGTAACAAATACCAATTTTACACCACATATGTCTTCTTAGTTCTGCATTAGAAGAACTTGCATGTGTTTTTATCCTAGAAGGCTTCAATAATACATCAAAGTGATTTCTTCCAAATCTAATTTTATGTCTGCTCTAATTTGAATAGTGTAATTTTAATTTTAAGGACAATAATAATAAAATAAAATATTAATAGAAGTTGTGAGCCTGAACAATGATTGTGTAAAAACAGAGCATTATGATTACTTTCATTGTTGTTATTGCTGTTTTGACTTGAATGCGAGATGTCTTGTTTGTTTTACAGTCAGGGTCTTGTTCTATCACCCAGGCTGGAATGTAGCGGTGCAATCATAGCTCATTGTCACCTCAAACTCCTGAGCTCAGACGATCCTCCCACCTCAGTCTTCCGAGTAGCTAGGACTATAGGTGTGTGCCACTATACCCACCTAATTTGCTTTTTATTTTTTTGTGGAAATGGGGTCTCACTATGTTGCCCAGATTGGTCTCAAACTCCTGGCCTCAAGAAGCCCTGCTACCTCGGTCCCCCAAAGTGCTGGGATTACAGGCATGAGTCACTGGACCTGGCCTGTTTTAAGAGAGCATTATGTTTTAAAATGAATCATAGGCCGGGCGCGGTGGCTCAAGCCTGTAATCCCAGCACTTTGGGAGGCCGAGGCGGGT